TCAGGCGTAGAACCAGGGGAAAGAGTGTGATTAGACAGTGAGGAAACAAGCAGCTGCCTGTGTACAAAGCTCTGCTGACTATATGAACTGAAGGAAAGTAGAAATGCTTTAATCTCTTTCATTTACTAATCCTAAGTGATGTATTCGAGAACAGTAGGAAAGAAGTAGACAGAAGTGTGACTTTGAAGTCCAGCAAAGGTTTCTGTAGCTTCAAAGAGCTATTCTTCCCTGGGTTTTATCAAACTGAATGCCTAGCCAGTATGCTGGGCAAAAGGGAGACGTTCTCTGATGATTAGCATAAAAGACAAGGCAGGAAGGCTCTTATTCATGGCTTTGACGCTTATTGTGCAAGGGTCTTCAGTACCATGGGTACTTTCATTCCGCAGTATTTGCTGTGGGTGTAATGACATCTTCTGCACCTGGTGGGAAGGTGAAACCCTGAGTTACTTGTGATCGTGTCAGTCAGGTCTCACTGTCTGCTTTTCAAATCCTCTGACAGGAGCAAAACAAACCACAGGAGCCCATAAGGCACTTCCCTTCACTCAGCCACCAAGAGTGACCCTGGGCTCCCGCTACAACTAAGTGGGAGCGCACCAGCCACCCCTTCCTCCCTGCCTGGGGTGGATTTTGCTCTCTCAGACCCTCCAGGTTCAACAGCCGCTTTCTGTTGCCTTGAAGTCAGCAAACGAACTGCAGCAGGACCCCAGTTCCATTCCGTTCCAAGATGGAGCAGAGAACTGGAAACCTGAGCCTATCAGACCCAATCCTAAAGGCATTCTCCTTTTTTCTTTCCCTTTTTTTTCCCCTTTTACCGGTCAGCACTGCCGTTGTCTCCTAACTGTCCTCTGAGACTTACAAAGCATTTCCTGCTCATGGCGACTTCTCTGTGCTGTATCTGTTTTGTATTGAGCTAATTAAAATGTTTCCTTCTGAAGAGAATGGTGAACGGACTTACCCCATATTCAGACACTGATCCTCAGGGCATGACTCTCTTTTTGTTTTCACTGAGAATGTCTCTCTCCATTTACATCACCCCTTTAACCCTTGATGTGCTTTGGCCTTCCCCATCTACTGTGGCCTTTGGAGGGTCTGATCCACAGCTCAGAAATAATGGAATTCATCCCAAACTTCCCAGCAAAGTTCACATTATTTTATTCTCATAAGAGGAATGGTTTTGGTTGCAAAGAAACCTCAATCTGATGATGGAGAACTCCAGAAATGCTGGGTTTTTTGACCCTCAGGTGTCTGTCTAAGGAGACATTGCTTCATAACGGCATTCCTCAATTCACTGGAGATCCCAATAAAGAGATTTAGATGCAAAGAAAAAAGGGCTGATGAAAAGCACGGTTACACTGTTTGACCAGGTTGTTTTTGCCCAGGAGCAGAAGCTGGTGATGGAGGTAGCTGTGTCTTTGATGTAGCCCTGTTTATTTACAAAGTGTGGTTGAGAAAAAAAAAGGTAGAAAATGAGAGTCCTGATTCCCTGCACCACTGGGGAATCCAACAACAGGACTCAGTTTATTTGCTTACAGTTCCAAAACACTTTCCAGTCAGCGTCCTGCCCCAAAAGCTTCCTTTCTTTCCTTCTCCGACACAATTTCCAGTGGTTCCTTGGTGATTGCTTGGCTTTTGGGCTCCTTGTTGCCTTTACTGGCTCCTCACAAGGCGCCTGCAGCTGCATGAAGCCCTCCTTTGACCGCTCTCACCCAGGGCTGTGGCTCCGGGCTGGTTCCTCTGCAGTCCCTTTGCTGAAGCAGGAGAGCTGAACTTTCAGCTCTGTTTATCCAGAAATTATAGGCTTTTTTTTCCTCCCCCTTGCATACATTAGCACCACAAGCTTCCATCCAGCTGCCTGCACCACAGCACAAACACCTATTTCAGCTTTTGCAAGCTAAACTTGGTGCAAGGAGGTGCGAACAGTTTCCTCGCAGTGCAAAGCACAGGGGGGCAGAAGGGAATCCACACTCCACTCTTTTGCTCAGGACCTTGCAGAATCTGTGCCCTGCATTTATTTACCAGAGGGAGTTGACAAAACAGGCCTTTGTCTTCTCAAATGGCTTTTTTCTTGGGGGGGGAAAGGGAAGGCTGGACAACTCTCATCTGACAGCAGTATGGGTGGATGGGTATCAACAGCCTTCGTTCCGTTTGCTCTGGTCTGACCCCAAGCACTGGAGATGCACAGCCCCCTCCAGAGCTGCTGGGCTCCCTCTCCTTAATGCATGTTTCTCAGGAGGAAATTTGGAGGCATAGCTGGGGTTTTCATGCCATTTCCTTCACCTCCCCTCTGGAGAAAAACATTAAGGTCTGTATAAAACGCTCAGCAGTACGTAACAAAAGGATGTGTTGAGGGCAGGCGTGCACTAATGTGTTAAATAAGAAATTACTTTGCAGCACAGAAATACAAGATCTCGGCTAGTGAGTGATGTTTCTGTAGTGAGGTTTCTTAGAAATCAGATTTCTAATAATGAGATGAGAGAAGAAGAATGGTATTTTGGCATCATATAAGGGAAGATGCTCTTAGTGCTAAATATGGTAATTTCCATTTACCACATAAAAGCAAATACAAGCTAGGGTAGAAGATGGGAATATTAGTTGATTAAAATAAGAGCTTCTGTCATGGTTGTCTATTTACAGGCATAATAGGTACTCAAAATATTATGAGATCATGTTGCACACGGAGAAAGCAGTCTGCACTGTTCCTAACATGCACTTTGTCTCAGGGCTTAGGGACTGATGAATGTTCCTCGATTTCATTTGCCAAGATAAAGAGACTTTCCCTTTTTCTACAAAACAAGACCATTACAAACAATTCAGAAGACTCTCCTTGCAGCTGGGGTCAGCTAAGGCTAGTTTGGTTCCAAGGCATGTGGATCTTTATCCCCTTTTATGGGACCAAGCTGGGAAGATGGTGCATTAGAGGAAGTTTTGCAGAGCCACTGTCTGTTCTCATGAATAAAGAGCTCCTCTTTTCAAGGAGAGAATTTGGCTTTTGTAAAAGGTGGTGGCTCCCCTTCCCTGAGACTAAATCGGATCCTTATTTATGGAGGAGGAGCAATGTGTGAAGGAGCAGTGAGCCTCTGCACGCACACTTGACCTAGAAAGACCTATTGAGGCTGGGTGTGTGCTCCAGGAGCCATCCTCACCACCCCAGCCCAGTGATCCTGGAGCACTGAGTGAACCGTCAGGCTGGGAGCACTGCATCATCTGTGTACACCTGGCCAGCAACGCACAGACTTGGATAAATAGAGCCCAGATACTCAAACATGCCTTAGCCAGAGTTAGCTGCAGCCTGCACAGATGCATCTCAAACATTGGCATAAACACGTATGGCTGCAAGCGGCCATGCTATTGAAGTGCCAAAGCACTACCATGGTAACTGAGTCCCAGACTGCTTTGCCACGCTGCTCTCCCCAGCAACCAACCTTCTCTCACCCTGTGTTCCAGAGGTAACAAAACTTCTTACAGTGAACCTCTTCCCCAGCATCTGGCCCAAGGTGTGAGTAAAATTGCCCTAATCCCTGCTCTTGTGCTCCAGTCATGAAGTCACAGGCTGGAGGAGAGCAACCATCTCACAGCTGGGAGCACATCCTCCCTCTGGCACTGGCTGCAGTGCTCAGGCACAGTGAATGTTTCGATCCTGCTTCTCAGAAATCTGGGAGGTGCAGGTTTTAGCATTTGTTTTGTCTCACTGTGTCCGGGCATTAGTTCAGTTTGTGTGCAGCGGAGCTCTGAACTCCAGAATTTGAAAGACACTGATTTTTATCAACTGATATAACCCCAGTTAAGGAGGAGTCTCATTTTTAGTCTTGAAGGATTAAAGAGAAATGTATGCTCAGACACACACACACCCAAGACCACCTCTGTCCTTCCAGTTTTTTCAGGAATTTCTTTTAAAATTCAGAGGCTTTGAACCCCTTAAAGTCCCAAGGTTACTTTCCTGCCTGTTTTGTTTTAGCTTTCAGAATGTTAGTGAAGAAGAGAAGATGGAAAAGTGCTATGGGGAGGGGGTGAATATCCTTATCACCGACCTGTGAACTTTGCTCTTCCCATCCTCTGGGTTTTACTGTTGTGTTCATATAGGGAAGCAATGCAAAACCACACAATTGTCTTTTCTCAAACAAAGATTAAGGAGTGCCATTAAAAACCCCCAAACCATTCTTGCAAATTCTTCTGTAGTGGGCTTATATCGGGTTAAAATCCTATTTTTTCCAGACAGCTCTATCTGTTAGATGAAGTTGTTCATCATTTATTTTACTTCTGACACTGTTTTTTCTATCTGTTTAGAGCAGTATTTGTTTTTTTTCATAGAATTTTGCTACTGAGCTTAGAAGGAGTAGATTTTAGCCATAAATGAAAGCCCATGTGACAAAACTTTGAAGTTTTGCAGTATAAAATACATAACTTATTCCCTATTTTTAATAAAGATTTTGGGAATCAGATCACGTTACATGAAGCTGAAAGCATTTATCAAAATAAGCTGAAAGTTCATGTCACTTTTATATACAACCCTTTCTTAAATTTATATTAGTGTCTATGTGATGCTGACTTCAAGTGCACACAGAAAGTCCTAACCAAGAGATACTTTTTACAAAGCTGAAACCAGCAACAGGGGTAGAAAAGTCCCTAACTTGTCATCTGCAGTGACACAATGAGAACTGTGATGTGAATTATAATGATTGCCACTGCAAGAGTTTGGAGGAGTAGCTCACACAGTAATTACTCTCCAAAAACTTGGAGATCATCTTTCTCACTTTAAACAGAAACATTTGTCTCTCCCATCCCACCCATAGCATAGCTCAAGTCAGAGGAATGAGATCTGCCTGTATAGAAAAAACATCGCTAATCTCCATTGAAATGCACAGCTCGAGCCCATCCCCGGCTTTTATCCCACAGATTTGTCTGAGCCCTCAGATTTCAGAAATCAATCCTTTTTTTTCAGAGCTGACGTTAAATCTGGATGCTTTTCTGCTGGGTTAGAAAGGGAGGAAACGCAAACTTACCACGGCAGCGGGGCCGGGGCTGAGATCATGCCCACGGCTCGGCAGATTTCAGCCCGATTCCTCCCTGACAGCCCGCATTTATCCTCTTTTTTCGTGCGTGCAGCGCAAGCAGCGTTAGTCCCACACGGAAGAGCTGCGTGCTCGGCTTTGGGAAAGTTTACCCGTTCATCTTCAAGCTGCAAAGCGGCGGGCAGTTGTCTGCCTTCCTTTGTTCGGGGAGGAAACAAAACTGCTGAATGCTGCAGCCATCATGTCTTGGGAAACGGGACACAAGAATGGGCCCAATGTCTGGGCAGGGTTTGTGGGCAGGGGGAACTCTTGGGGGTCTCGATAGGAAACGCTTTCCATTGGGCAGGGAGGTGTTATTAGCGCCTGAGCCCGCCCCGCGCCCGGGTCTCTGCTGGGTCCCTCTCGCGGGGCTGTATTCCCTCCCAGAGCGTGTCCAGCAGCTCCCAGGGCAGAATTAGCAGCCTAAGGACAGCCTGACAATGGGTAACGCGGATTTCCTGAGCCATTAGCCGGCGGACACAGCCTGCGAGAGCGTGCCCGCGCCGGGATGGAAGCGAGAAGGGGGGAAGCTGCTTAAATCCCGGTTTTTCTCTTTCTCGGCTGGAACTGTAATTGCTTCCAATTAAAAAGTGAGGAGGAGAGAGGGCAGCTAGGCATCAGGGAAGTATTTGGTAAAACTAGGATTCTGCAAAGCTCCCCATAAAATATCTAAATAGATGTAGAAAGGGGTTCTTTTTCAGTGTGGGGTTTGCTTTGTTTTGCTTTTAAATCTTCTCGAAGGAGCTGGATGAACAGTCTGGACTCTTGTCCACCAGCAGTTTGCTGTGAGAGCCCTACGTTCCTGCTGGAAAACCTGCAGGCTTTTTAACGTGTAGGGACATAATTACAGATACTCCAGGGAAGCGCGGCTGCCCTCGCCTCTGTGGCTCCCACTGAGAGCTGCTTGTGCCTTTCAGTGAATCCGCCTTCCAGCAGCGCTGCTGGCTAAAAGCTTTGTATTTTTATCTCTTACCTTTAATATCAGCCCTTCAGCTAGGGAGGAGGATCTTCTGGCAGCAGACGGCCTATTTGCCTCAGCCTGTTTACTCTCTGCAGCAGCCGATGCCCTTGTATTTGTTTTTCAGCCCTCTCTAGTTCCATAGGTTTGAAACGCTGTGTCTGCTTCTAAAGCCCAGCCTCCCACCTAACGAGTCTTGCTCTCATTGTGTTTGTCTCTCCTTTTCCTCTGCTCGTCTTGGCTGTTCCCACAGGCAGCCAAGGCCAGTAAACAACTCATTGTGAAGCTCGAACTAATGTTATTCCTTGGGCTGGTGGCTGATGCAGTGGTCTCTGACTCGTTTCTGCAGCACGCCCAGCTGCCACAGGCTTTTATCCAGGCGATGCAAATAACTTCCTGAATATCTCATGTAACAGCATAGCTCCAGTCTGCAAAACCTCATCCTCCGAGGGCTCGCAGCTTAATAAAACATAAAAACACGAGCGTGGCTTTGGATTGAAAATGGTGAAGGTGCAGATGTTTCCTGCTCCTGATGGTCAAAGGTCCGGTTTCCCGTGTTCAGCTGGTAAAGGTGATAGACAATTTGTATGAATTGTGAAGGGCTGATGAAGGGATAGGCAAAGACATCGGCCATCACCACTACTTGTGTACAAATGTGGGGTGAGCATCGGGCTGGCAGAAGGGTCAAGAGGCAAAATCCACCAGTGTAACGAGGAAACCTGCATACAGCAATCAGCTTCATGGTTTGTGCGCGTTTCCAGGCTGGCTGCTTGGAAATCCTGGTCCCTTGGGTATAATGCTTTTCACACCCCGGGGCCCATTCTTATGCGAGTGTGAGTGCTCTCAGTGGGGACAGATTAAACAACACCTCTGCATTTGAAATTGCCTTTTTTTAGGGAAAAACATGTAGTTTGGATGGTTTGAAGCTGAATGTACTGATAGAGATTAGAATGAGCACAACTATACTCTTTGCAGATTAACATCTTTCGTCTCAGCCTTCAAAACTATCAGTCCCTGGGCAAACCCATTAGAGAGGAGACTGATAACTCCTTGAAGATTAAATACAGCATAAATCTTAAAACAAAACAAAACTTCTGTGTTTATTAAAGCATGTAGCCGGAATGTGGCAACTGTGCCAACTTTAGCGGTATTGGAATTTAACCAGGCAGCTGTACCTATCTGGGATGTTTGTTTTCTCTCTGGAGTTATTGGTTTAATTAAACGCTCCTAGCAGAAGCCTTCAGCTGTTATGAATTTCAAGGGCTCTCAGGAACTCCTCTTTATAATGTTGCCTCTAACCTAAGAGGAGATGGGGAATGGTATTTTTGCCCTTTACAGAGTTCTCAACCACTGTAGCGGTTCCAACTTCGTATCTGTCCCTGGTGGCTATAGGGTTCAAAAGCATCTCTAGTGAGCAGGTTATTTAGTCACCTGGTTTTCTTTAAAAAGGAGCATCTTTTTCTGCCAGTATAGCCAAAACAAGAAGCTGGAAAAGCAGAATCTCTAGGTTCACCCATGATGCTGCTCTGTAGCCTCTAGAGATCATTGAAAAGAACAGTCCCAACCCTTTTCCCCTATGGGACATAAAACAGGTTTGGTACTGAGAAGAAAGAAAATGCCCCCAAAGCAATATATTCCTGCCCCCCTCCAAGGCACATTTCACAAAGCACTACACGTAGGCCTTTATCCTTCTCCACACCAGTTTAAACAGGCTAAATGCTGTGCTGTCAATGTCCTCTGTATTATTTTATTTAAAACAAATAAAGTACAAACGTTTCCAACAAAGTGCCCTTAACATAGGTTTATTTGCCAAACACGAGAAAAGGAGGTGGCTGCTCTCTTCTAGGTTACAGTTACAGACAAGTGTTTTCTTTAAAATGGAAAAACAATGAATAGACTCCTCGGCTCTTCATCTCCCCTCTCTGCACAACTCGTTTGCTGTCCCCACCCTGATCCCATGGTGTTCATCTTAGACTTGGGACAGGGTGGGATTTAGTGAACTCTCCTTGTTAAAACATTGGCAGTACATCAGTAATCTCGAGTTATTTTGGAAAACAAGGGAAACTGGACTGTTATCTTATTGGAAACCACGGCTGCTGAGAAGGCATAACATGTTTAAGCAGAAGTTTCACCCCCTGTTTGCAGTACTCAGATTTTCTGCTTGTGCATAGAAACCCTACTGTGATGCGATACTTCTGGTTTTGGTTGTCTGTTGTGTCAGTGGTTTGGTGGCTTTTGGACGGGCATATGAAATATCCATTGTTTTCAGCCAGGCAGGAATATCAGAATTTGAGGAAGAGTTTTGCCCAGAAGACTAGCATATTGTCTTTCTAGGTGATTAACGCTTAATTCTGCTGCTGTCAAACGTGCTGTTTCAGTCAACTGATGCTTTATTGTGCCGAGAGTCTTACTTCAGGACACTTATAAGCACTCAAAAGGAGCCAAAGAGCAGAAACCAAATAAAAATTGCATTTTAAAGGTCACTAGAATGTATATGATAGCAACATTAGCTTTTCCCTTTCCTCCTCTATTCATTGGTGAGGCTTCCTTCCTTTGCTCTACAACAGCAGGCTTAATTTGTCATTCAGTAGCTAAATATTGCATGGCTTTAGTTCATCCTGGTCCGGCAACACATATTGGATGTTCAGAGGCCCCTTGAGGTTCTCCCTTCCATAGAGAGCAGTCTGTGAACAAGCTTCTCTTAAGCTGCAGTGGTAAATACAGACCATCCAGGAGTGGCTTTACAGCACCAGGGTGGTTTAGGCACCCTGCCTGGGGAAGTGGGTGACCCCACGTTGCCGAAATACCAACTCTTTGAGCCTGCTAACTCAGCTGTATGCAGAGATTCTGGCTGTCTGCAGTGCTTCCATATGATGTCCTGTGCCATTTGCTCATCCTATGAGGCCCACAGCTTCCTCAGGTCTCACGCGTTTAAAGCACCGGCTTTAGGATTACAGCTGCTGTGGAATAAGGTTAATGTCTGGGTGACCCCAAAGGAAACATTTCGGATGATTAAACCAACAGGTTCAATTCTGTGAGAATGGAGTATTTCATCTAGACATTCCCCAGGAAAGCTTAAGGAAAAAATCAGTAATACTGACATTTTCCTGGAAAAAAAGGGGGAAAAAAAAGTCACTTTACAGAAACCACAGTCTGTGCTGGAAAAGACTTTAAAGGAGAATTCCTGAGCAGATGTAGCAGAACCCTTCAGGAGCTCACTAATGCTGCAGTGTTTACTAATGCTTAATGGCTTGTCAGTGCTTCCATTTGAAATCCTTTTTGAAGAGTTTTATAACAAAGCCATAAAAAAGTCACTTTGGAATCAAATGGAAACGCAAAAACCTCATCCTGCTTTTGGGGTTTTTTGGTTGGTTTGTTTTGCTTTGGGGTTTCTGGGTTATTTTAAAAATACATTTAGGAAGACTTTTAAATGCTGTATAGAGATGGCAAAGAAAAAGAAAAACAAGTGCCCCTTTGAATCATTATCCCTGCAATTTTAAGGCCGTGTCATGTAAAAACGCTGGTTTGTTAATTTACTAGCACTTAAAGTTCCATTAGTTTCCTGTCCAAAAGGACTTTCTGCTAACAAATGACAGGATATTTCTTCTCCAAATGTTTAGTCAAATCAAATCTTTTGGGGGCAGGGGAAAGTGCTGCTCGTGCCAGTGGAGCGACCGAGTGCCCAGAAAGTCTGGGCTGCACTCGCTGCTGGCTGCTTTCTAGTGAGCACAGACTGCTAAAACATGGATGCAGTCCATCTGGGCAAGGATGGGATTAACCCATCAACCTGTAATTTGTTTCTCTGATTTTCAGACCCATCCAATAGTGACCATTTGCATTCTCATGGGTCCTGGCGGCCTTTATTAAATGCAACCAACTTGAAGCAAGGGTGTTAGATTATGAGCTGCTGAAATGCATTTCGTTTCATAAAAAGTAAAGCAGAAATTCATACTGCTTGCTAGGTCAGGCAAACAGAAAGTTCTGGTGGCACCAAGTGCTTGAACTGGAATATTCCTCCAAACTGTGCATATTTTCCTAAACCTTTGCTTTTCTTTGCTGTGTAACATCATCAAGAAGCTACAAGAATGTCGGTCTGTCCTATGGTGTCCTCTCCATGCCTCAAGGTAAACCTTAGTCCCTTTGCTTTCAGGTGTTGCAGTAATTTAACCAGGCTCTTCCAAGTGTGTCCCAGTAGTGGCGTTGTCAGTGGAGAAGGGATTCGTTCTGCAGACTCCCCACTTATTAGTAATTTCCCCCATAACGTGGAGCAGTTTCCAGTTCTGTATGACCAAAGTGCCTCCCTTCAGAAGCTGCATCCAGGAGTTCAGGCAGAAGAGAAGCAAACACCTGATTATCCTCTCCTCCAGAATGAGTTCAGAAACTTGCTCCGTCCTAATTTGGTGTGGGAGCTGGGCTCGTTGATCCTTTTTACCCAGTTCAAAGGGACTGCTTTTCAGTTCTGCATGCTTCAGAGTCCCC